GTTCCCCTCAGAGAACAACCTCCACCAAAAAAAAAAAAAAAAAAAGAGAGAGAGAAAGAAAGAAAAAAAGCCAAGTTAGGCTGAAAGCTAGTTAGCCAAGTTGTGAATGCAAAGGAAAGTTTTTAAAGAAAATTTAAAGTGCTACTCCAGTAAACACATGAATAATAAGAAAGTGAGATAATCTTACTGCTGATATAGAGAAAATTTTAGTGGTCTGGACAGAAGAGCCTACTAGCCACAGTATTACCTAAAGCCAAAGCTAAATCCAGAGAAAGAGCTTAATTTTCTTCAGTTCTATGAAGACTGAGAGAGATGAAAAAGTTGCAGAGGAAAAGTGCCAAGCTAGCAGAAGTGGATTTGTGAGGTTTAAGGGAAGAAATCATCTCCATAACATGAAAGTGTGAGGTGAAGCAGCAAGTGTTGATGTAGAAGCTACAGCAAGTTATCCGTAAGATGTAGCTGAGATAATTTATGACGGTAGCTACATCAAACAGGTTTTCAATGTAGACAAAACAGCCTTCTATTAGAAGAACATGCAATGTAGAACTTTAATAACTACAAAGGAGAAGTCAAAACCTGGCTTCAAAGCTACAAAGGACAGGCTGACTTTTGTTAGTTGCTAATGCAGCTGGTGACTTTCATTTGAAGCCAATGTTCATTTTCCTTTCTGAAATTCCTAAGACCTTTAAAAAATATACTCTGTCTTTGATGTATACATGGAACAATGAAGACCGGATAATGACACATCTGTTTCTATTGGGTCATCAGAAAAGTCATGTTGCGTTTTTGCATAGAAAAATACGTCATGACTTTTCTGATGACCCAATAGCATGGTTAACTGAATATTTAAATACCACTGTCAAGACTTAGTTCTTAGGGAAAAAATATATCTTTTTTTAATATTACTATTTGTTGTCCATGCACTTGGTCAACCAAGAGCTCTGATGGAGATATACAAGATTAATGTTGTTTTCATGCCTGCTAATATAGCATCTATTGTTAAGTAAGGGCATCAGATATTGATCAAGGAGTATAATTTGAACTTTCAAGTCTTACTTTTTTTTCCCTA